TCCTGCCACAGTGGCTTGTGTGATCTGAGGTTTTGAAACACCAGCAGCGGGGCCAGCTATGCAGGGCTGGCTTCAACGGAGCTTCCAGACAAAGACTAGGAAGCAAGACCTGGTCCCCTGCTTCTGGGAATTGTCGTTTGGTGCTATTGAGAGGATTGCAACCCATAGCGACCGCATGCCCAGGGAACGACGCTACCTGGTCCTGTGCCATCCTCCTAATTGTCCCCTTGCTTGAGCCCATGGCATCCATGTGTCTGCTCCTGGGCTCTCCTCTCCTTCGCTGCCCCTCCACCCTGTAGAGCGTGATGCCCTTCTCCAGGGACTGGCCGCCTGACAACATGTCCAAAGTAGAAAAAGAGGGAAATCCCAACCATCCCTGGCTCTCAGGAGCACTCTGGCCATCCTTGTGTCCAAGCAGATGGGTTTGCCCGTTAGCAGATCCATGGTGCTTTCCACCCTCTGCTCCAGCTCCACAATCAAATGCATCGTCCTGGGGGTTAGCCCAGGGAAAACTTAGGAATCACAACTGACTTCCTGAGGGCACGTCCTCAGGACAGAGCAGCCCCATCGTGTTTGGTGGCAGGGAGGGCCTACCAGGAGGGCCCCACCCCCCACCCCGAAGTAGAACAGTAGCCGTGACAGTGAACTGGGGATTGTTGTTGGGCACCGGTCCGGGCAACATCCAACCATGTTGTCCGTGGCTGTGGGCGGAGCTGACGCGATGGCAGTCAGCACCAGTGTTGCTACGGAGCACTCAGGTGGACCCCCGGTGGGAAGCTGACACCAGGCTGAAGGTGTGGGCTTGGGAGATACCAGCACGTGGGCCGCAGTCAGAGCTGTGGATGAGGATGAGATCCCCGAGGCAGCATGTATGAACCCAAACCACCCCAGACTCACTGCCATCGAGTCAGTGCTGACTCCTAGCAATCCCCTGTGGGGTGAAGACGAGTCAGTGCTGACTCCTAGCAATCCCCTGTGGGGTGCAGAGGCTGCACCTGTTGACAGGAATAGCAAGCCCAGTTGTTCTTCCTCGGAGCTGCAGGTGGTTTTGAACTGCCGACCCTTCACATCACAGCCCAAGACATAACCACTATACCACCAGGGCTCCCTAGAGTGGGTGAAAGGAGCATAAAACAAGAATAACAACCACCCCCTCCTCCCAAAATACAAAAAACCGACTGCCATAGCGTCCATTCCTCCTCACAGCAACCCTGTAGGCCTGCCGCTGTGGGTTTCTAAGACTCCTTGGGAGCCTCGAAGGGGGCGTTTGCCTTAGAAAGGACCAGGGGGCAGACAGCCAGGGAGGAAAGGTGGGGCCGTGCTCAGGTCTTGGGTGCTGTGCTCCTGTGCGTGTTCAGGACAGCCCACTCGCTGCTGTGCCTGACCCCCAGTGGGGCCCAGGGAACGGGTGGTTCCTTTGCAGGGGGAAGCCGTAGCCCAGGGCAGACCTGCTCACCACCCACTGGGTCCTTCAGTGTAGGGGCTTCCCAGGACCCCTACCCAGATGCACAGCCCACACTAGCAGTTGTGCCTCTGACCCCACCCTCCACCTTCGGGGCAGATGGGACTGGCTTCTGCCCACTCACACCCCACTGAAGGCGACCCGAGCCAAACTCTGTCCCCAGCAGGCCAGGCTGTGGCACCCCTGGCCACAGAGAACCAGCTCCTGGTGGGCATGCCCCTTCCAGTGACCAGACTCAGCCAGACCTGGGTCAAGCTTCCTCCTCTGTAAAACGGGCACAGAGAATGCCTGCCTCCTAAGATTGGGGTGAGGATGAAATGAGGCTCCACCGTCTAGAGGGATACCAATGAGCCCTGGGGGTGTATGGTGGGTTACATGCTGGGCTGCTCCCCTGGAGGTCAGAATCCAAACCTCCCAGCTGCTCTCCAGGAGAAAGGTGGGGTGAAGTTCTTTGCTCCTGTCCAGGTGCACAGCCCCAGACACCCACAGGGACAATTGTTACTGGTGGCTGTGAGTGGAGACGACCTGATGGCAGTGGCTTTGGTTGGCTGGCTGGCTGGCTGGCTGGCTGGCTGGCTGGCTGGCTGGCTGGTTAGTTGGTTGGTTAATTGGTTGGTTTTCCAGGCTAAGATTAGGGCAAAACA